AAAACTTTTCGTTCGTAATCTATACTCCCAGGCTGTCTATATTGTTTCAAAAGCTCCCTTTTGATTTCAAATGTCATCTCCTAAGATGGTTTTACCATATTAAAAGGTATAGAAAACCTGTGTACAGAGCCATATCAAAATCAAAACAGCAAAAGAAAAGAGACCACAACAAAAGCAACCATGAAGTTGAATACTGGTGATATAATGAAAGGGGGAGCATAAGCTTCCAAGGCTGCAAAACCCAGAATCCAAAGATTTCTATTCATTGTGAAAGAAATTGAAAAGGTCATCTTTGACACAGTTGCACTTTGGCAACTCCTGGCACATTTGAGAATATTAACAGCTACCATGCAGATAGATCTACACAAGTTATAGACCACATGTTGATTAGCTAGTCTGTTCATGCATGGCAGTGTAAATGATCAACAGCTAAAAAGCAAAGCATCACTCACTTCCTTCTTATTTACAGAATAGTTCAATTTCTACTTACCTAAGAGACAATAAATGCTTGCTGCTGCTGTCTGTATGCATGGGCATATTTGTTTCTGTAGGGGGATACTGAATGCTCCCCATTTTTTAAAAAACCAAACCTTCCCACATGTAGAAAATAAGCATGCCAAAGACAGGATCCAAATTCTCTTTCTTCACCACCTGCCATATTTTGCGCGTGTAGGGAATCTGTTATGTTACTTTATACTGAAGCAACCAAATACAAAGCCTGCATACAATGTGAATTTGTGTTCTCCGTGAAAAGCTTTGCCTCATGATTCTATTGAAGATGTAAAATGGCCCAAATACAGTCTCATTTGAAATAATGAATAAAAATTTGCATTCCATGGAGGGGAAGCAATGTTCCCTCAGTCAACATTTCATAAATATAAATTGTTTCTATAGCATATGAAATGCCACAGAGGAATGTATATGCAGCACCCTCAAAAGCAGAGAAACAAGCCTCATCAGAGTCAGATGTAAATAAATAAATAAATAAATAAAGAAATAAAGAAAGAAAGAAAGAAAGAAAGAAAGAAAGAAAGAAAGAAAGAAAGAAAGAATGAAAGGGGAGAAATTTTAAATGAACCTCCAGAACCAACAGTCAAATCTAAACCCATATAGGCACCAAAATCCATATTTTCCCCAATTTTTGCAAAATAGTTTGTTTTTTTAAGCATACATTTGCTTACAACAATGCAAATATCATAGGAAGTTAGGCACAAAAAAAACAGAGTGCATGAAAGGGAATTGCTTGCAAACATATTAGGAAACATGTCTACATTAAAGGGCTTGTATGAATTTGACCAAACTTTGGGAGGCAGTGGAAGATAGGAGGGCCTGGCGTGTTCTGGTCCATGGGGTCATGAAGTGTCGGAAATGACTTAAGGACTAAACAACAACAACAAAATTCATTCTGATTGTTTAGAATAACAAAGTCAAGTTCAAAAAAATGTTATTTAAAGCTACTCTGAAAATACTATAGACATATCAAACTCTTTGCTTAATGGTACAAGTTAAAAATGCATATATTTTGACCTCTTTCCCCCCGCCCTCCTCTGTTTTCATTGATAGCAAAAAAAGAAACAAAACAAAAAACAAAGAAAAAAGCATAGCTGACTACAAGCTGCTGTCTCTCATTTTGTCCAAGCAATATGAAGAAAATTTCATTATGCTTTCAATAATAATAATAATAATAATAAAAACTTTTCGTTCGTAATCTATACTCCCAGGCTGTCTATATTGTTTCAAAAGCTCCCTTTTGATTTCAAATGTCATCTCCTAAGATGGTTTTACCATATTAAAAGGTATAGAAAACCTGTGTACAGAGCCATATCAAAATCAAAACAGCAAAAGAAAAGAGACCACAACAAAAGCAACCATGAAGTTGAATACTGGTGATATAATGAAAGGGGGAGCATAAGCTTCCAAGGCTGCAAAACCCAGAATCCAAAGATTTCTATTCATTGTGAAAGAAATTGAAAAGGTCATCTTTGACACAGTTGCACTTTGGCAACTCCTGGCACATTTGAGAATATTAACAGCTACCATGCAGATAGATCTACACAAGTTATAGACCACATGTTGATTAGCTAGTCTGTTCATGCATGGCAGTGTAAATGATCAACAGCTAAAAAGCAAAGCATCACTCACTTCCTTCTTATTTACAGAATAGTTCAATTTCTACTTACCTAAGAGACAATAAATGCTTGCTGCTGCTGTCTGTATGCATGGGCATATTTGTTTCTGTAGGGGGATACTGAATGCTCCCCATTTTTTAAAAAACCAAACCTTCCCACATGTAGAAAATAAGCATGCCAAAGACAGGATCCAAATTCTCTTTCTTCACCACCTGCCATATTTTGCGCGTGTAGGGAATCTGTTATGTTACTTTATACTGAAGCAACCAAATACAAAGCCTGCATACAATGTGAATTTGTGTTCTCCGTGAAAAGCTTTGCCTCATGATTCTATTGAAGATGTAAAATGGCCCAAATACAGTCTCATTTGAAATAATGAATAAAAATTTGCATTCCATGGAGGGGAAGCAATGTTCCCTCAGTCAACATTTCATAAATATAAATTGTTTCTATAGCATATGAAATGCCACAGAGGAATGTATATGCAGCACCCTCAAAAGCAGAGAAACAAGCCTCATCAGAGTCAGATGTAAATAAATAAATAAATGAATAAAGAAATAAAGAAAGAAAGAAAGAAAGAAAGAAAGAAAGAAAGAAAGAAAGAAAGAAAGAAAGAAAGAAAGTCAAATAAGAATGAGGGAGAAATTTTAAATGAACCTCCAGAACCAACAGTCAAATCTAAACCCATATAGGCACCAAAATCCATATTTTCCCCAATTTTTGCAAAATAGTTTGTTTTTTTAAGCATACATTTGCTTACAACAATGCAAATATCATAGGAAGTTAGGCACAAAAAAAACAGAGTGCATGAAAGGGAATTGCTTGCAAACATATTAGGAAACATGTCTACATTAAAGGGCTTGTATGAATTTGACCAAACTTTGGGAGGCAGTGGAAGATAGGAGGGCCTGGCGTGTTCTGGTCCATGGGGTCATGAAGTGTCGGAAATGACTTAAGGACTAAACAACAACAACAAAATTCATTCTGATTGTTTAGAATAACAAAGTCAAGTTCAAAAAAATGTTATTTAAAGCTACTCTGAAAATACTATAGACATATCAAACTCATATACCATCTTTGAAACATTGCAGTATTCAAAATTATTAGCTTCTGATGAAGATAAAATGCAAGGAGCACAACAAAACTGGATTATCTGCCAAATTCTAAATGAAGTCAGGGAAACTATAACATAGTGTTTATACCTTTAAAAAAACAGAAAGAAGCCCTTGCCATTTTTTATTTCCAAGGAGATGCAAAGCTGAACTAACAGATACACAGCTTGTCAACACTTGGTTCATCAATCAACCTAACTTGCCACCAAAGCCTAGATCCAAAATGTTAGCACATTAGAGCATTTGACAATGGTATAATCCTGTTAAAATCCATTTTTACACTGCTGTATACCTGCAAGATAATTTAATTGTGATGTAAGCATCCCACAAGGCTGCACTCCCAGGAACATTCCCTTCCCTTCCACATCATTTTATAAGAGCTAGGAAATTTACCCACTGCTCACTTGGAATATTAAACCACCAAAAAGACACTACTCTCACACCTGCTGCACACTTCCTACAGTAGGCTAACATGCAAAATGAATGCTGGACCAGATGGGACTTCCATCTGATCCAGCACAGATCTTATTATTTCTAGATATCACTTCCTCATTGCAAAAATCTACCATGCATGTTTAATATATGTTATACACTAGATACATTAGAAACTTTCATATCTCATGGGAGATACAGTGGACAGTTGAAATCACAACCTCTGGCTCCATAAGTCAGGTACCCAAATCACTGAGCTATCCAGCCTGCTCCTGTGTTTTACTACATGTTTTCATCTTTGGGGACTTAACAGGATATTACATGACTCAGAGAATTTCAGCAGCCATGGCCACTCAACTATGAAATGACTGAAATCTGTTCTGTACAGCAGTGATTCTTAACCTTGGGTTACTCAGGTGTTTTTGGACTGCAACTCCCAAAAGCCTTCACCACCAGCTGTGCTGGCTGGGGTTTCTGGGAGTTGCAGTTCAAAAACACCTGAGTAACCCAAGGTTAAGAACCACTGCTGTACAGTACATTGAGTAACGTTGACTAGCCATGGAAATATTTCAGAGATAAAGCATTCCCAGTTTCTGTCCTGAACATCCCAAAGTTCCCATAGAATCCTCTTCATCATTGGGAAGCTGAAGGAGGAGGGCTGTGTGATATGAGGATGAAATCTTTTAACTACCAAAAATTGCTGTTGGTGATAAAGTTATCCCAAGATTCAGAATATCAGCTACTGATTCACAATGCATTGTAAAGGTAATCAAAGTATTTGAACCCAATAAGGTCTAATATGCATCAGAACGATGTTCTGGACTGGCTGCAATCCATCATCCAGTTTTGCATGTTTAGGATGCAATTTTATAAAACACATAAGAGAAAACTGGAATGAATTAACAGAAGCTTACTTCTAAACAAACACAGATAGCAATGTACAGTTAAACTTCATTGCCAACAGTAAAGTCATGACTGAACCATTAGACTGTAACTGTTAAATATGGTCCAGCACAAACTGGTGCCAGAAGTAAGACCAACAACTATTGGATTAAGTAGCACACTACCTTATCACCCATCTTCTCCACTGATTTAAGAGGGTCACCAACCCTTTTAGAAGGAAATCATTACATTTTATCTACAGTGTCTCACATCACCATTCACCACAGGCTATACACAATAGAGCTGATGGAAGTTATAATCCAACAGTACCTGAATGGACAGCCTTGTAAGTCGTGTTTTCAAAAAGGAATAAAATTTGCATCTACTACACAAGCTGTGCTTACATCTACCAGTTTTAAAATCCGAGTAGGCAAAGTGTGGGTCTCTAGATGTTTGACTCATTTTACTGACCTCAGAAGAATAGAAGGCTGAGTCAACCTTGAGCTGGCTTCCTGGGATTGAACCCCAAGTTGTGAGCACATTTTTGGCTGCAGTACAGCAGTTTAACCACTGTGCCATGAGGCTCCAACAAGAGTTGGAGAATGATTTTTGTGCAAATTGTACAGTTTTACAAAATTACAACAATGGTTACAATGTTGCATGGAATTTTAAAAAACCAGAAATGCTGGATAGGTTGTTTGCAAGCTTTCGTTATTCTTCTTTTACTGTCTATACTTTACAAAGAGGAAAATATACAAGTTTTGTGCATTGATGTTTGTACAATTGCAGATAAAAAAAGAAAAAGTAAGAGGGAAGTGTATTTTCTTGTTCTTGATCTAGAGGAGACAATGAACTCTCAATGTCTCAATAATTTATCACATCCCTGTACTGGACTGCAGTTCCTATACTAGCCAGCACAATTAAAAATGAAAAATTATGGGAGTTATAGTTCAACAACACAGGGATGATGGTTACAATTTGCCAATCCATGCTTTCAAGCCTTGTGGTTGCAGCAAAA